AGGTGTTAGTTGAAAATTTTAAATTCTTAGGAGGTTGCTATTAATTTATTGATTTCATATTTTTTGTTTAAGTTTTGAAATGTCAAAAATTTTTAGGTGTGTTATGGTAATCCCTTGAATTTATCTATGTTGTTTGCAAGTTTTAAAATTTTAGAATTTCAGGTGCTTGTTTGTAATTTAAACTTTTGAGGGCGTTCCTATAAATTTTAAGATATTAGGATGTTAATTTTAAATTTTAAATTCTTCGCAAACCACTGTTAATTTCTTGATTTCATGTTTGTTGTTTTAAGTTTTTAGACGTCGGGAAAGTTTTTATAATTTTAAACTTTTCAGGGTATTTTGTGCAATTTTAAAACTTTTTAGGTTTTTTGCAATACTTTATGTATTATAGTATGTTAACTACGTATAATTTTTTTATCTTAACAAACTAATACCATGGTGATGTTTTATATGTTTTATTAATATTATTTTTTAAATTTTAATCTATAAATACTTCACATAGGATTAGGATAGGATATAATTATGATTAGGATAGATAAAAATATAAATAAAATATTTAAAATAATGGAGAGAAATATTGACCACAGAAAGATTTTTTCGAACTCGTGTTTTTAAAGGGAGTATATTCTCCAAAGCATGTGAGCAAGGGGGACTACGCTCTTCTTCATAAATGGTGGCAGAGCTAAATTGTTATTCTAAGGGAGAACCCATAAAACATAATCTGTTTCTAATTTATTCAAGATTTTATTCTTGATATTAGTCCCTCAAATTATATATAGTGCCATTAACCACCAACACCCCCCCTCTCCCTCTCCCTCTCCCTCTCCTAAAAAGAAGCAACAGAAGACCTAAACAAAAGAAAAGAAAACCCAACCCACCACCATAAAAAATGAAAAAAAAAACTCATAATTAAGTTAAAATTATTGTCCCATGAGAATTGGGGACTAAATATCAATTTCAATTAGTTGAGGGACTAATTTTAAAATAACTTGAAGAATTTAGAGGGATCTAATAGCAATTTCAATCGTTAAAGGACTAAAATATTAAATATTTTAGAGCTCAAGGGGCTAAAATGAAAAATAGCCTGGACATAAATAAATTTTTTTCATTTTAGCTGTTATTCATAAATCGATGAGAATATAGACAAAATGTTCTCTTTATTTTAAGAAGTAGATTTAAGCATTAACTACTTTGTAAATGATTATGACTTTTCTGTAACTAATATTAGATCTTATTTGGATTCGGATCCTCTCCGTAAAAAAAATTATCTAGTGGATAATTATGATTTTTCTATGAGTGCAAATAAGAAATGAATGCAATACACAGAGATATGATAAGTGTTAGATTTAAAATAAATCATAAAAAACCACTAAATAATCAATGATTATGATTAAAAGTAACCGTTTGGGCGACTGTTGAGGTAGACTTTTCCCCAACGGCTTTAGCTCAAACGATGTTTTTCCAGTCCAAACGATTATAACCGTTTGAGACTGTGTTTTTCCAAACGGTTCTAACCGTTTGGACTGTCCTATTTTGTACTAGTGGATCCCTCAAATAATTTTTTTAAGGGAGAAGATCCAAATCTGTTCTTATTACAGTAGGGATAAGAAAGGAGAATCACAAGAATGTATAACATCTGATGAATTGTACTACTTTAATCATGCATTAAAAGGTACTAACTGACAGCATCTCTTTGTCCAGGTTTCTAGCATGAAGAAAAAGACCACTTGGCAATGAAAAATCTCTATTTAAAAAGTATCTTATTAGGCAAGAAGCACTTTTCTTAAAAGAGTATCATATCTTGCATTTTCGCTAGAAAACTCTTTCTAATTGACATAGGAATATTTAAGCTACATAATATTATAATGTCCAAGCTAAGCATAACTATGTTTTTGCTAACTTCTGAATTATAATTACCTCCTTAGAGAAATAATTTCATGTCACTTGGCAAATTGAGAGATGATTTGCACCGAAAATCCATGTTTACAACTTAGCATCTCAACCAATCCAATATAAATTTTTTACTAGTATAATGAGGTTACATACCATTTTCTTCCTATTTAAGAAAAAATATAAAAAAAAGAACAGTTGACATTTCTCTTAGGTGTACACGTTGATGGAGTTAGCGTAACGGGGTTATCAATTAGCAGTATTAGCGGGCTGTCTCCATGGTGCATGTTAGCGGGCGAAAATTTCTCTGCTAACTTGCACCCCCGCTTAGTTTTCATGGCTAAAAACAAGAAAAAAAGTGGAAAAAAATTGTTCAATATTGGTTTAAGAGCTTCAAATTCGAGTCTGCAATCTTCTGAGGATCTTATCGATGCAAGGATTACTGAAGATGATGAAGGTTTTGATTCAGATGTGATGGGGTCAACGGGTCCAAAGGGAGGAAAAATGAAAAAATGATGATGGAAATTCTCAGATCTACTGATTTTCTAGCTGATCCTCATCTTCCTCAGGCTAATTCTCAGATTGGTGTTAGATCTCGAAATCTCTGTAAGTCACAAAACTCTTCTAATGGTGCTGGTAGCTGTTCTAGAGTCTCTTGGGCTGATGAGGTGGAATCTCCTAGATCTCCTATGTCTCATCCCCTTTCTATTGATTCTATGAAGAAAAATTGCTCTGATTCAACGTTTTCAATTTCTGATAAAAATACTGTTCCATTGAAACCTGTGGAGTTTACGGTAGAAGAGGTTTTCTCTGATCCTAAGGGTAATTCCCCTTCAGTTCCTGTTAAAGAGAGTTCTGAGATACCTATTTCAATTAATACAAATGATAAACAAAATTTGGCCCCTGATGGTAATGTATCAAGAAGCTGGTCCACCTTATTTGCTGATAATAGGAAACCAGGTAGGGGTTTGGATTTGTCCTATGTTCCCCCTGGGTCAAAGGACACTGTGATGTTTGAAATGATGAGTGGAATGAAGATATATCATCTTGGCAATTTTCTCTTATTGGTCAGGTACTGGGACTTACAGTTAAATTTAAGGCTATAGAGACTTTCGTGCAGAAAACTTGGTCTCATTTAAATGCTCCTGAAATCTGCCTTTTAAAAGCTGATATCTTCTTGTTTAAATTTAAGAGCAAAGATGAAATGAGTGAAATTCTAGAAAGTGGACCATGGTTTTTTGGGTCAAGGCCTTTTCTATTAAAACCTTGGTCTATTGATGAGGATATTGATAAGATAAAGGATTGTATATATCCTATGTGGATCCAATTTCCAGGTTTAAGATTGAATTTGTGGAATGCTAAGGCAATTAGTAAAATTGTAAGTGTTGTGGGTAGACCTACCAGGTTTAAGATTGAATTTGTGGAATGCTAAGGCAATTAGTAAAATTGTAAGTGTTGTGGGTAGACCTATTACTACTGACAAACTTACTGCAAATAAACAAAGGTTAGCTTATGCAAGGGTGTTGGTTGAAGTAACCTTGCCTTCTTCCCTTCCTGACCAAATCTCTATATGTTCGCGGGGAAAACTGTTTTCTTCTTTGTTATTGATTCCATTGCACTCTTAAATAACAACTTTTTGAGTTACAAAGATCCGGTCCTTTTTATAAGATCCGGTTACAATGAAAATCAAAGAAAATAAAAGAAAGATTACAACTTTTCTCCTTTTGTGTCGAACGAATCGCGAGCTCCTGTTTTGCGGTCGCTCGCTTTGTGGGTTCTTTGCCTGCGCCGGGGTTTATCCGTGGACCACCGCGAGATCTAGATCCGATCATATCTAAGCAGTACAACGGGTATTATTCCACAAAGGAAATAATAGCCGGGGAGGATTGATTCACCAAGGAAACAATCGTCCAAGTCTCGGGATCTAAGACCAAGCTTAGATTCGGAGTACGTCTGCGTAGATCTGAGATCCGGTCCTCTCGAACACCTGCCTTTTTTGGCGTTGACGATCGCTGAGCACCAAATCTGGAAGAATGAGTCCCCGAAGTCCCAAAGCTCCAATCTTTTTTTTAAGTTTCGAGTCTTGAATCCGACAGAGCTTCGCGAGCCACCCATAGGTGGCTCGGCCACCGAGCCAGCTATGGGTGGCTCGGCTTAAGCCGAGCCCCCTTAGGTGTGAGTTTTCCGAGGTGTTGCGCTGTCTCGTTTGTCCGTGTTTCGGTTGACTTAAACTTTTATTTGTTGATCTGATTTGGCAGTAATCTGATTCCTGATTTGGCAGTAAACCCGCTTCCAAGTTCGAGTCTGAAAACTGATCTTGATTCGATCGTGATTCGTCCGAGTCCGCTCTCGGTTGGATGACTCGTTGACTCTTCAACACTTGGCTTGATTGCGAACGCGAATGGATGTATTCCGTTGTTCGCGTGCGATTCGTCGATCTTGTCGCATCGTTGGTTCGTTGGTTTTTGCCGAACTGAGCTAAGGGACCTATAAGCAATTTTATATGCCTACACTATACAGGGGCCAAGTGGTAAACAATTTTCCCAAAAAGTGATTTATGAATTAAAGCCTAAATGGTGTGAATTTTGTAATCAAGTGGGACATGAATCCAGTTACTGTAGGAGAAAATCTAGGACTCAAAGATGGGTTCCTAAGACTGCTGTACCAGTAAATCTGAATTAGAAGGTTGTTATGCAGAATACAGCTTCCGGGGTTAATGGAAATAAGGTTTCTGAAATTTCTAGTTATGATGGCCACAATAAGGTACCTGTTGAGAATGTGGGTATCTGTAGTGGTAATCAATCTCAGGAGCCTGTGCAGCATATTATACATATTCAAGAATCTGATCCTGAGATAAATCTTTCAAAAGGCAAAGAAAAAATACTGGATGAAACTGGAAATAGCAAGGATAATGCAGAGTTCAGGACTGTGCATGTTGTGCACGTTTCTGGTTCTAGTGGGGATCATGTAAATTCTGACATTGCCAAAAATCCCTGGTCTTTTGTTCAAGGAAATGGCTCTAAAAAGGCAGTTTCTCATACAAATTCTTTCACTCTCCTGCGCAACATTGAATTTGACCCCTCTACAATAGATAGAGGAGGATTTGCCAAATGAACTTATCCTTTTGGAATATAAGAGGATTAAACAAATCCTCTAAGCAACGTTTGGTTAAACATCATTTGTTGCAATATCATCTTTCGTTTCTTGCTCTTCTTGAAACTAAAGTCAAGGATACAAATTTGTCTATTACTGCAAAGAAAATTGAGAAAAACTGGCAGTGGCTATCAAATGTGGGTAATTCAGGAAAAGCTAGGATCCTTGTTATGTGGGATCCCTGTATTTTGGATGTTCAAGTTGTTAAAATTTCAGAACAACATATCACTTGCTCAGTAAAATCTGTTGATGGTAAATTTGATTGTTTTATCTCATCTATATATGGTTTCAATTATTTGGAGGCTAGAAAAGATTTGTGGCTTGATCTCTGCCATCTTCACCAAAATTTGGGGAATTCTCCTTGGCTACTATGTGGAGGTTTTTAATACAATGATTAACAATGAAGAAAAACTAGGTGGGGTTGCTTTAACTACAGTTGATACAAGTGATTTTAACTCCTTCATTGAAGATTGTCAACTCAGTCATCTGAAAACTCTGGGTTGTTTCTATACTTGGAGCAATAAACAGGAATCTGGTTCAAGAATTTGGTGTAGACTTGAAAGGGCTCTGGTAAATGGCTCGTGGATCAATTTGTATTACTCTAGCCATGTTGAATTTTTGCAGCCAGGTTTATCTGACCATTCTCCTGCTTTTGTTTCAATCTATGATGATTATGTTCAAGGGAAAAAGCCTTTTAAGTTTTTTAAAATGTTGACAAAGCACCCTAGCTTCATTCCTATAGTTTCTAAAACTTGGCAGACTACTGTTGAAGGATACAAAATGTATTCAGTCAGCACTAAGCTCAAGTTGCTTAAGGGTAATCTGAAGGAGTTAAATAAGAAGCATTTCTACAATATCACTGAACAAGTCCAAAGAGCCAGAGTAGCTCTAGAAGAAGTTCAGAGGAACCTCTATGCTGATCCTTTCAATTCTTCACTCATAAATCAGGAAAAGGACTTTTTATCATCTTATAAGAGATTATTAGACTGTGAACTATCATTTTATCAACAAAAGGCTAGAATAGCCTGGAGTTTACAAGGTGATAGGGGTACCAGTTTTTTTCATGCAATCACAAAAAGCAACAAGCATAACAATAGAGTGATGGTTCTGCATAATGCCAATGGAGATAGAATCACTGATGGTGAAGGGATTGTAAATGAATTTGTCTCTTTTTATAGGAAGCTTATGGGGTCTGCTGTTGTTACTATTCCCCCTGATATGGATATCATAAACTTTGGTCCTATTCTGAATGCAGCTCAAGCCAGGGAGTTATCTAGGCCAGTTACTAGGGATGAAATCAAATCAGCCATTTTCTCTATGGCTGAAAATAAAGCTCCAGGTCCGGATGGGTACAATGTTGCTTTTTTTAAATCTGCATGGGCTATTATTGGAGAGGAGATCACTGTGGCTATTGAGGAGTTCTTCAGTTCTGGAAAACTGCTGGGTATGGTAAATTCCACCTCTATTACACTTATTCCTAAGGTACATTGTCGTAAAACTCCTTCAGATTATAGGCCCATCTCTTGTTGTAATTGTCTTTACAAGTTTATCTCAAAAATTATCACCAATAGAATCAAGACTGTTATGGGGTATATTGTAAATGATGCTCAAAGTGCATTTGTAAGGGGTAGACAGATCTCTAGCAATATCAAATTGGCTCATGAACTGGTGAATAGCTACAACAGGAAACATCTCTCTCCAAGGGTCATGCTTAATGTTGACATTAGAAAGGCCTTTGACACCATCAGCTGGTGTTTTCTGTCTGATCTCCTTCATGGTTTGGGGTTTCCACAGGTCATGATTGGTTGGATATAGGCTTGTATTACTTCTCCAAGTTATTCTTTATCTCTTAATGGTTCTCTTCATGGCTATTTCAAGGGCAAACATGGCTTAAGACAAGGAGACCCCCTTTCTCCTTATCTGTTTATTCTAGGAATGGAGTATCTTTCAAGGAAGTTGGGGATGTTAAAGAATGACAGACTCTTTAAGTTTCATCCCAAGTGCAGTCAGCTTAATATTACTCACCTAATATTCGCAGATGATCTCCTCCTGTTTGTAAAGGGTGATGTACATTCAGTGCATAAATTGTTTCAATGTGTAAAAGAGTTCAGTGCTGTATCTGGACTTGAGGCAAATCCAGAAAAATGCTCTGTTTTCTTTGGTGGTATAGATGAATCAGTCAAATCTTCCATTAACAGCTACTTGGGATTCCCTGAAGGTGTTTTGCCATTCAAGTATCTGGGTGTTCCTCTCACAACTAAGAAATTGTCTCACATGGACTGTAAATCCCTCCTCTCAAAGATCTCAGGGCAATTTCAGAAATGGTTGAATCATGGGTATTTGTCCTATGCAGGTAGATTGCAAATAATAAAGAGTGTAATCCTTGGTGTTCAAATATTCTGGACATCAAATTATATTCTTCCAGCCAGTGTTCTCAAGGAAATGGATGGGTTATGCAGGAGCTTCTTGTGGGGGAAATCAGGTCAAATTCTCAGAATTCCTCTGGTTGCATGGGAGAGAGTTTGCATGGGGAGAAAGAAAGTAGGTCTGGGGATTTTTTTCAGCTCTTAGTTGGAATACAGCTTCAGCACTGAAATGCATTTGGGATATTCATATCAAAAAGGAGTCTCTGTGGATTAAATGGATTCATGGTGTCTATTTAAAACATGAGGATATCTGGCAGGTCAAAGCAAGATCTGGTGACTCTTGGTTGTGGAAACAATTGTTAAAGGTGAGGGATAAAGCTTTGGTTTTGTTTGGTGGAGTGGACAATTTGAAAGGCCTAATCAGTTCTTGTTGGAAGGGTGCTAAAATAAAGCTTTCTGAACTATATTATGCAATTCATCCTACCGTAAATGATGTGATATGGTTCAAGACAGTCTGGGGGGTTTAAACATCCCTAAACATTCTTTTGTTAGTTGGCTTGCATTTCATGACAGGCTTCTCACACAGGACAGACTTCATAGGAGAGGTGTCATCAATGAAAACACATGTATTCTCTGCTCTAGAGCAGCCAGTGAAACAAGAAACCACCTGTTTTTTAAGTGTGTGTTTTCTGCGGATGTCTGGAACTGTATCATGAGCTGACTGAGTTTTAAATGGAGATCTTGCAATTGGTCTCAGATAGTCAATTGGTATGCTTACAGGTTGAAGGGAAGAGGGTTAAAGCAACATCTCAAGAAAATGGCTTTGATTACCACTATATATTTCAGTTGTAGAGAGCGGAATTTGAGGCTATTTCAGCAGAGGTCTAGAAGTGCTGATGTTTTGGTTAGAGATATCAAATTTGATGTCCTCACATCCATTCTCAACACCCCTTCAATTGCAAGTAGTGATGTTGTTTTGAGGATTTCTATCATTTGAATATCTATGTTTTATATGATATTCAGTTAGTTTTTCTTTGTAATCTCAGTTTTGAACACTGAGTATCTGATGTACATAAACCTTTCATACTTGGTTAGTGAATAAAAAATTTTCATTGACCAAAAAAAAAAAAATTAGCAGTATTAGCTGTTCCCATATTTGTAATTGAATTATGTTTGGCCTTTATTCTAAGGTTATCTGACATTCAAGATATAGTATCTTTAAATAAAGAATACAAATATGTGACCATATAGATAAAATTATTAGGAGTTTAGGTAAGAGCATTTGGTATTTCTACGGAAAGAGCCTAGGGCATATTGTTGGGTTTTTTACCCCCTTCCTTCTTTCTTTCTGTTTGTATTATCTTTTTTTATTTTTATATTTTATTTTGGAGAAAAGGTCTGAAACAGTCTGATTCCACTCTTCCCTCCTAAGGTTGTATTTGACTCCTTGTTAGGATGTCTCTTATAATCAGTTAATTGTAGTTTAATTTAGATTGATATCTGACTTTGATAAAAAACAAACAATTTTAATTGGAACTAAACTCTAATTGAAAGAGGATCAGAATTTGATAAAATCAAAGGAGTATATATATATAAGGTTCGGAGAAAATTGAAAGAGAATTAGGTTTGAATTATAGTCTCTTGGTTTGAGTCCACCCATCATGACCCTACGAAATTATTGGAGGTAAACTGCTTCCCAAACATACAAGAATTAGTCCTCAGCTCCCATACGCGCGCATCATTTGCATGGGAGATCCCATGTGTCAATACACAAGAAAACGTTAACAGCAAGCAGCAAATTAGACTTCGCTAACCTCTGATCAGGATGCTTCTAAAAGGTTTTCAGGGCCTCACAAATGCCAAAGTCAATTTTGGACGAAAATTTGGAATTATACTTTAAAGCAATACCATTCATGTCTTTGGAATCACACCTTTAATTAGGCTACAAATTTCCTCCACTGCTTTGCGCAGCATCCCTTTCTTCCATCTAGGCAACGTGTGATTTTTGTCATGACTGTGATGCTTAAGTCACAACAACTTGCCCATTACTTACCAACAACCCAATAATTAATTTTCAGCAGTGTAAAAACATGCAAAACATGAGGAAATCATAGTCATCCGAATTCACCTAACCCTGGTAAATAATAAAAAGTCCATACTTTCATATTTACGTGTTATGTCAAATTGGCAGTGCCAATAAGTATGTGTGACGCCCATGTTTTCACATATAGCTGCAGTCCATGGTGAACCCTGAAATATCAAACCTGCCAAGCGCCTACACCGTGCAATAACATGTTTCACAATCACATGACTATCTCTCTAGTGGAATCAATAACAAGTGTAGGTACAAAACATGCAAAATAAGAGAATAGATGCAATTGACATGACATAGAAAGAAATATCCAATAAATATGATCATGTCCCAATCTGAGTAAAATAAATACAACTGATATCTGACATAAATGTGAAATATCTCAATACATAAGAGTTAACTGAAAATAGTACTAAGGCACACAACCTTTACAATATGAAACAAAACTCTAAATGTCTGAAAGTAAACATTAAACTACGGTGGAGCACCAACTACTACAAATAAGTGACGGCGACTATGTTGTAAATCCATCAACATGCGGCTCTCCGGAACTCTGATCCGCTGCCTGAAAAGAAGAGAAAACAAAAAGGAAAACAACAACAAGGTCAGAGCACTTTAGCAAGATCATCTCCATCCGCCCCCAGGGGAAGAGCTACTAAATGTGATGGAGGCTCTACCTATTATGCATAGTCTTCCTAAATCATTTACCATGTATCTAAATGAGATTAATACTTAAAAACCCACAACACGAGACGTAGTACGTCGAGTGAAATAATCCAAACAAGGAAACCCTCATGTATATACCATATGTCTCAAATTGTGAATCGGTAAATATCAATTCCAAACTAAGAATAAAAGATAAAGGGAAACAATGCAGAAAAGTAAAGTTGCCGCAATATCATAAATATCGACCATATAACTCGTGCTACCCTAGGGTAGATGATGTGGATACAAGAACTAAATCTCCTGTAACTCCCAAACGCGAAGTAATCTGGTCACAATATAACTTAGCGATGAATCATATTCATAAATGGCTTTCGCCAAAGGCTATCAGATATATCACAATACAATATCTCGTAAGGTTTTACAACTCATTGAATTATCATGCGGAACGGACTACCAAATCAGACATCCTAAATATGTACACGACTCATTAGTCTCATCGCATCACCATGCAGGACGAACTACCAGGTATCTTAGAAGTACGACTCTCTAGCCTCATCGCATCACCGTATGGGATGGATTACCAAATCATGTATCCTAAAATCACGACTCAATGGCCTGTACTAACGACATATCAACGCACTATCCCAAGTAGTATTGAGTTGTGCTCATCAACGATATCCATACATGCATACGTATTATAATTAATTGTTAACTCAAACATGATCGAAACAATACTTGTAATAATCCTCTTCGGGGTATCCGTATATGTGTTATGACTCAATTTGTGTACATCCATGGTTGCACGTGTGTTGTCGTATGGCTCGAACCCCGCGTTCACGATTTAGCATGCAAGAGAAAATCATCACAAACAAAACAAGGCATCAGTCGACCATTATAAAGCATCGGTCAACTGACGACAAACGTGCACAAAATGTACTCTAAGAAGACCTCATCGGTCGACCGATTGATCCTTATCGGTCGACCGATTAGAAAGGGTTTAAAAACCTTGGTGACACAATCAGTCGACTGATCTCTTGGGATCAGTCGACCTATTACACTATCTCGGTTTTTCTCAAGTTTTTGTGTTTTGTAACTTGTCTCGAAAATAAATTTTGTTAGCATTCAAAGCAAAACATGATTTAGCTTTCATGATTACTCAACAAGGGTTAAATTAGACATGGTTACATCTATTGAAATTAAACAGTTAGGGTTTAACATTCCAATTAACAAAATTCTCAAATAAGGCATATTTTATCAACATGATTAATAAACATGATTAATTTTGATCATTACACAGATATAGATTTAGTTTAAACAAGATTACATCACCTATGTATCATAAACTTCGGGTTTAAACATCTTAATTAGCAAAATTTTCATTTAAATTGGTTAACTAGGGTATCGAAGCAAATTAAAACATAATTAACAAATTAAAAACAACACTAATGATCATGATCTATTCTTATTAAATAGAGATTTAAATTACAGATCTTTTCATTGGTTTTAGATTTAACATCACAAACTAGGTTTTATCACATCCGATTAAATTTTAAGCAGTAGATTAATCAATTAAACACATTAAATCATGAATTACTATAGGAAAAGGTTTGGTGGAAGATGATCTTGCCTCAAACGCTGTGTTGAAACTCCCAAACACACGTGCGTGCAAGATCCTCCTTCACCAAGATCGCGAATCTTGTCTGTCTTCCTCTCGACAAACGCCTCAAGAAAACTCCCAGAAAATCACGGATTAGGGTTAGGGTTTGAGAGGGAAGGCGGTTCCTGGTATATCACATGAAAGATGATCAAAAGAGATTTAAAATGAGTATATATACTCAGGTATATAACTGAGCTCGAAGCCAAACAAAACCGACCCAAAAACGAAACGTTGGAGCTCTAGAAGCCCGTCGGTCGACTGACCGCTAGGCACTGGTCGACCGATCGGGTGTCATCGGTCAACCGATCTGCCTAGGCCTGTCGACCGACCAGAGCGTAACCTACTTTACAGGTTTTTATCTTTGTGCATGTTTGTGTATGTTTCGCTCCTGAACTCTCATATACACGCTTTTATGTATTTAATCGATCTCAAATCGATTATCATCATACTTAATCATCAATAAAAGATATTTATCACAATATAATTTATTTATCATCATTTATTATAATATATCCAAAATTACGAAGTTTTATATTCACCCCTCTTAAAAGAATTTCGTTCCCGAAATTCCGCAATCGTAATTAAGAGATTAATAATATCAGAAAAACACGTTGAGGGGATAATCCAGATAATGAAATCCTCATATACACATCTCGTACCATTAATCTCCAGATATGAAACACAAGCAATATTTGCATCTAACACTCTGGAATATAAGTATTCCCACTTAACCCCTAACTAAGCGGAACTATTACGTCGGGCAAAAAATGCAAACAAGGAACCCCCCATGTATATACTATGTGTTCCGAATAATTAGAAACTAAGTGTTAATACCCCTATTCCAGCGTTAAATATAGATATGACTATACAGATAACATAAGTAATTCATAACTAACATTTTACCTGTTCAAACAGATGTGGGTAGTCGCGATGCATATCCTCTTTGCGCTCCCAAGAAGCCTCCTTATCTCCCTTCCAGTTACATTGCACTTTCACTAAATGAATCACCTTATTTCTAAGTCTCTTACCCTCTCTAGAAAGAATGAGTAGTGGAGTCTCAATAGTGGTCAAATAATCATGAAACTCAATCTCCGGCACGTCCAACACTCGTTGCTGCTCCTCGTCATGTAAATGGTTCTTGAACATCAAAACATGGAAAACATCATGTATGCTCGACATTGATGCTGGAAGATCTAACCAATACGAAATGGCTCCAATACGTTCCATAATCCGGAACGGACTAATATATCTCGGGGCAAGCTTTCCCCGTCTGTCAAATCGCCGAACTCCCTTCACCAGTGATACTTTCAATAAAACATAGTCCCCAACCTAGAACTCTAGCGGTTGTTGCCTCTGATCTGTGTAGATCTTTTGCTGACTCCGTGTGTAAGAATACGCTCGTGAATTAGTGATACATTCTCTGTAGTCTGTCTTACGACCCTGGAACTCGATAATACATGCCCGCTACATGTCCTCCAATACTTGGTTGACTCTCTCTATTTGTCCATCTGTCTGTGAGTGAAAAACACTACTGTACGATAGCTGGCTGTCGAAAGAATTTTGGAAGCTCTTCCAGAAATACGAAGTGAAGACTGAGTCTCGATCTGATACAATTGTCTCTGAAACTCCATGTAGTCTCATGATCTCTCGGATAAAAATTCTCGCATAAGTCTCT